CAAATGTGTCAATTTTTTTTTCTCTTGAGGAATCTAAGTCTAAGATGAGGGCATTCAAAAGGAGCAATAACAAATGTATCTAGTTTAGAGTAGGCACCCCTCAAATTATTTTGTCAGGATGGCCTAAAATTTTGTTATTATATCAGGTTTGAACATTTTTTCAACTTCTGTCCCAAACTAATCCATCTATCTACCAAACAATATAGTAGAAAAATGTAAAAGCACATGAAGAAAATTAGCAGAAAAGATAAAAACAAAATTTGGGATAGATACGTATCAGCTGCTGTATAATGTATATGGGATACTGGTATAGAGAGATTCTTAACCAAACCAAAATTGTATCCCCATTGAACTTGTTTTTTGACTGGAAAGTATACTGGCCAAGGCAATCATCGAGTGATATCATTTTTTTGTGACAATTGTGAAAATAAAAAACCCGGTACTTATTAGATCTATAATTTAAAAAAAACAATTACAAGTAACAACCAGAGACAAATAGTGATACAGAAAATCCTGCAGAATAGGAATTAATGGTGACATTGACTGTATTGATTGCACTAAATTATTTTTACAGTGGGGAGGTCGATTCATTGTAGAGATAAATAAAAAAAATTCCAAATATATTGTGAAAGAAGGTGAAATTCAGTAGAGTTTTCAAATTCAATTATATTATAGAAAACAATATACAACTTAGTACACATGCTCTACAAAGTGAGATTTTTCAGTGGATTGTTGAGACTGTTATTATGAATGAGACTAATGCCATGCTGAATCAGACTAGCGTACCAACTCTTGACCCATACATCTATTGACTCACACATCCATATTTAACAGATGCCCAAAAAAAGACAATTGCAAGCATTGTTAATAGAATTGGACTTTGAATATGGCATTGCTGATAGCCCAAGTAAAATAATATTTTGAAATCAAAGCATAGAGTAAATCACTGACAAACTTACAAGACATCACGCCATTCCTTATAATCTACAGGACATTGGTATAGCTAAAGGGATAGAATTGGTTTTAAAGTTAGATGCTACAGTCTGTAGTACAGAGGAATCCGATTCACCACACTGTACCTTTCGTCTCACTCAACAAAGAAAGATAGGCTGAAAAATACCACATCATGAGATACGTTCCTGATATCTCAATGAGATTGAGACAAATATTTTGCAAAGGGGCCATCATGAGATTTCCTGGTTAAATGCACTATTAAATTAAACTCCTATCCACCCGGGACAAGTGCCCCCCCCCCCCTTTCTCATGGCACTGCTGTGGGAAATGCCCCCCTCAGGACAAAGCTCTGCATAATTTGGGCACCACTGGCCTCGCCAAAAGGACAGTAGTGAAACCCCATGACATTTTTATTGTGACGTCATAGTTGTCTAAATTATTTAATTTTTTTATATATTTTTTTTTGTGGATGGAGGAGGGATGCGTTCGCACGTACATAACTTCACCAGCGAGGTGTCCAAAAAAAAAAAAAAAGAGAAAACCTACTTGGCGCCGGGATTTGAAAAAAATAATAAAATTTATTGTGACTTAATAGTTGTCTAAATTATTTAATTTTTTTATATATTTTTTTTTGTGGATGGAGGAGGGATGCGTTCGCACGTACATAACTTCACCAGCGAGGTGTCAAAAAAAAAAAAAAAAGTGTAGACCTACTTGGCGCCGGGATTTGAAAAAAATTATAAACATAAAATAGGAATCACTGGCGTAGCTGAAGAAAATTTGTTACAGGCACATGGCATGGAACAAACGGGGTACTAAATATGAGTACCGCCGAGGAGACCTACCATACATATACCTGGTGTGTGTGTGTGTGTATATATATATATATATATATATATTATATATATATATAGATATATATATGAAGGGTTCAAGGGAAAAACCAGTGATGTCAGTTTTTCAAAATTTCTATGTTATCTCTCTTGTGGCTACATTCCATTTAATAGAATAATATGATATATAGGTCCAACTGTAAAAGCAGCGTAGTCAATAAATAAATACGTAGACATCTTGATATTTTCATACTTTTATGTGGAATTTTCAAACTTTAAATTCAATTTTCTCAAAACCTGACATCACTGGTTTTTCCCCTTGAGCCCTTAACATATATATATATATATATATATATATACATATATATATATATTATTTATATATATATGTATATTATCTATACTGTCAGTTTCAGGAAAGTTACTGCAGAATTTTTGAATGAATGTGCGCACCGGTATTTTCTACCGGGACCCCGCCAGAAGCAAATCGACAACTACCCTTCTTCCATTAGTGCTTCCGTACCGGTACTAATATGGATGGCCCCAAAATGGATGTTGGTCAAGTACATTGAAAAATTCACTAGACTACAGATGAGAAAAATAGGAACGGTAGCTTGCTGCACAAAGGGCTCCTTCGTTATTTAAATACCTGTACAATACTGTACAAGCAATTAGGTTTTGCTACTGCCTCACTTATAATATGTATACTTATATTTCTATTTAATAAAATTTAAGTTAGAAATGGGTTATCAGTGTAGTCGGATTAGCTTCATATTAAAGTCATTAAAGTAATTGTCATCAGGAATTTTAACAGCTTTGATTACCAATTTACAATGAAGGGTCAACCCTTTAATACATTCAAGTAGTTGAGTGTAATTGTAAAAACGACATTGAAAACGATTCATACACTTTTGTCACGAAACCAGATTCTACCTAATTTAATATAATAGCATGCCATTGAACTGTCCTTTTCCTCAGTCCAGGTGCATCCACCACAGTTCCACATTACGTATGATGCAAGGGAGACAAGTGCATAAGCCGCAAATTGCTTGACGATAAACTAAGATTCCGGTACTCAATCATTGAAAGAAAATGTTTGGCTATTGAATTTAATTAATTTAAATGGGCGGTACTAACATGAACTTTTAGCTGCCGGGCGCTACATGTTTTCAACGTGACCATAATCATAGAGTTGTTTGCTTGCATCAGTTTTGCCCATCTTAGAAAGTGCGGTATAGATGAACTCTGGCACTTCAAGCATTAACAGGAGCAGAAGTTTTTAATTTGATTATCTAAGAAAAGGAGCAGAAGTTTTTTATTTTTTATATAAGAAAAAGGAGTATAAGTTTTTGATTAAGTATTATATAATTAAAGGTGTAGAAGTTTTTCATTTATTGTTATATAATAAAAGATGTAGATAATCTTTAATAATATTGAAGTTGATTTTCTGTCAAGTGCTGCATGGTGAACAGTAACATGCTACCACCCTAATTTAACTTTGATATTAATTTTGTTGTCCAGGGTTCATTGCTGATATTGATAAGTGATATGTTTTTGGCTGATATCTGCACGGCTTTAATATTCATTTTGTGATTTATTGTATGTATGTTCCTTGACTGTATATGACTTTAAAAGTTGCTGTGTATGGCATCCTTCTGTCTTCGTGAGACGATGGAGTAGCAATGTAGTCCTACACTTCGACGAGTGGCTCACTAGGCCAAATAACAGTTTGACAATTATTTTTTTTAGTTTCATTACTTTGTACAAGATAAGAATAAGATCGGTCTGCAAGTTTTATATTATTTGTTAATATCTAAATAGGATTATATTATAAGTCATCCATATCTCAAGGTATCGGTATCAAACTGAATTAACTGATGTACCTACTGGTGTTGTAATTTATTTAGCCCTAAGCTATTAATGAGTATTATTTATTCTTTTTAAATCCATTTATTATTAAGTTCGTTTCTGTTCGTGACAGGCTAGCAAAAAAATCGGACGGCTCGTTGACTTATTTCCCGTTAAGCTATCGAGCTGAAACTTGGCACCTAGACTAGTTGCTGATGACAACACATTCTTTCAAAGTTTCAGCCCCAACCCCCAAAAATTAAGTTTTACCCGTTTTTCAATGGGAAGTTGAAGGAAATATATGATGACACTAAAATTCGTGATAACTGCGCTGAATGAAAATATTTTTAAAAGAAATATTGCAAGTGCGTTATATTTTCTATTCTTTTTTAAAAAATAGTTGGGTTAATAAATCTGCGGTGTAAATCTGGGTGGGTCATTAGATTATTAATATAGTTCAGGGGTGTGAAAAAATGTCCGGTTCCGACTCGCAGCCGGGCAGCTTATAGTTAAAGGGAACATTGGTTGCGAGGCCTGCGGGGGTTGGGGGGGGGGGCGGCACTGATTGGGATGTGTATACCGGTAATTATAAAATGGGTTGCTTGTATGAATGTTTAATCAAATTTTCACCCCCACCCCCTATTGCTCGATATTTTACTCAATGGGGAGTTAATACGAAAAACTCTCTTTTAAGGAGTTGTTTAATTACCTGACTAATTTTACAACTACTTCAAAGCAAGTGGAACACAATAAATTTGAATACCCCACCTTTTTTTAGCTACTCGTATTGTAGGCCTAATCCTCTTGCAAAATACAATTGGAAGCAGATATAACTGCTTTCAATAGTTTTCCAAAGGGGGCTAAGTGAATACAAATGCTTTAACTTTAAACAAATTCAAACTTAAACCCTCTTAAACTTGTAAATAAAATACTCCTAGAGACGAAAATAAGAACCAGCACATATTTTTTTTCTTCAAATTGTACAAACATAAGCTGCAACAAATCAAACATGTTGAATGTCACTATTATTTTGAAACTGAAACCCGAACGGGTACTTCGCACAGGGCGAAAGTTTACCTCAGGCCGGCGTTGGTCGGACATAATACAAAATAGCATTGCAAATGGTTTGGAACTGATTTATAGTTTTAGGCGACTTGAGCCTATGTGGGTGATATCCAAACAAAAAAGAGCATCAAGTGTTTATTTATAAAAAATGAATTAATCAAGACAACTAATTCCAACGAGTAATGTTAAAAAGGAACTGTAAATTTAGAAGATAGTAACGGAAATAAATATAAAATACGTATAGATAGCCGTTTGTCCTTGTAAATCTCCAGGAAGCGAAATTAAGATATATCTAGCCAAGGTTAATCAAGATGGCAGCCCACATCATAAAACGATTTCTTGTTCGAAAGAACATTTTATTCTCGGCAGTTCGGCTTCGGAATGATTACACCTCTCTTTCAGTTATATTATCAAATCGAAAGTTATTTCACACATCGGTAAATTATTCGTCTGTCGCTAAATCGAAAGCACCTCAATCATTAAATGATGAAGACGGCAACAATCGTTTTAAAAAACCTCACTGCAACATTGGAACAATTGGACATGTTGACCATGGGAAGACTACCTTAACTGCTGCAATAACCAAAGTGTTATCAGATGTGTACAGTGATGAAAATAAATTTGTGAGCTATGAAGCTATTGATAAGGCTCCTGATGAAATTAAACGAGGCATTACAATAAATTCTGCCCACATAGAATATGTAACAACCAACAGGCATTATGCACACACTGATTGTCCTGGTCATATTGATTACGTCAAAAATATGATAACAGGGACATCTCAGATGGATGGAGCTATTCTTGTTGTTGCGGCTACTGATGGAACTATGCCGCAGACCAGAGAGCACTTACTGTTGGCCAAACAAATAGGGATTGAGAAAATTGTAGTCTTTATAAACAAAGCAGATGCTGTGGACAGTGAAATGGTAGAGCTGGTAGAAATGGAAATCAGAGAAGTTCTTACTGAATATGGTTTTGATGGAAATAATTGTGCTGTAGTTTATGGTTCTGCTCTTCAAGCTTTGAAAGGAGAGAACCCTTCCCTCGGTAGGGATAAAATTCTTGAACTATTGGATGCCGTTGATAAAACTATCCCGACACCGCAGAGAAATCTCAATGAACCATTTTATATGCCTGTTGAGAAGTTAATTTCAGTTCCCGGGAGGGGAACAGTAGCAATAGGAACAATAAAAAAAGGAACAATTCGTAAAGGGGATGCAGCAGAGGTTGTTGGATATGGAAATCTGATAAAAACCACCATTTCAGATTTGCATGTTTTTAGCAAAGCTGTTAAAGAATGTACTGCTGGAGAAAATATTGGAGCTTTGTTAAGGGGAGTGAAAGATGAAGCTTTGCTTCGAGGAATGATTTTAGGAGCACCCAATACATTAACTCAAAGTGTTGCCTTTGGAGCCCAAATTTATTTATTAAAAAAGCATGAAGGTGGGAGGGAACGTCCTATAACAAATAACTACATTCAAATGATGTATAGCAACACTTGGAATATATCATCTTGTGTACAACTACCAGTAAATACAACAATGCTTATGCCTGGTGAGGCCTCGAAAGTAGAAGTATTTTTAAGGTTGCCTATGGTGGTGTCTCCTGGTCAGAGATTCACTATTCGGGAGAACAATATCACAACAATTACTGGGCTTGTCACAGAGATTTTGCCTAATCCTGATGTCAAAATCAAAGGTTTTAATGTGGAAAAGCAAGTGAGGCATATGATTCAAGGGAATGCCCAGGTCACAAGAAGTTCTAGGCTGAAAAGAAAAAGAAAAGATCTTTAACATCCTAGTTTATTTTCACAGCAATTCATGGATCCATTTTTATTTGTGTTAGCTTACATTAGTCACAAACTGATTTAAATGACTTAACAAACAAGTTGAGTAAACATTTGTTTTTTTTAAAAAAAGGGACATGGTTACTTGTTCTTAAAGTTTGATGATTCTATTTTTAAAAACGTAGGAAAAATTTTAAAATTATATTTTTCTCAGTACCGGTAATGTTAGGCTTGTAAACAATTATAATTAGCTGGTTTGTTTTTCATGTAAGATGTTTAAATTTTGTTTTCTCTACTCCTGTCTTTCAACTTTCTTTTTCAGTCTCAAAGCTACCAGTGCCTGATGTTTGTTTTAAATTAAAACTGAAGATTCAATTAAAAGAAAAATTATAATATTATAATTATACTTTTTGGCAGATAGTTTATGTTATAAGTTATAATAATAGACAAATTGTAATGTACCGTAATATTTTATTTTTGCCCTGTGTTCTGGTACCATACCGGTAAATATTTTATCAAGGCCAACCTAAATTTTGTAAAAATTGCTTTGAGAATTGTACCTTGACAATGAACTCTGAGAATAAATTAATTATTAAAAATGTTTTTTGTATAAGCTGCTCAGTGATTTGGGTACGGTACCGGCAATGGTTAATACTAATACATGATTACAGTGATACCAGGGAATTTACCGGTATTTTAAAATAAAATTAAATATATTTTATGATACTATTATGGACACCTGTTTGTAATGAAATTAACTTTTCTGTTAAAAAAGAAATCTGTAGAGTACACTGTAGATATAATATGCATTTATTGTCAAACAAATCATTAAAAAATTTTTTTTTAAAATAATATCAAATTTCTTATTAACATGATTTTTAAAATTTAAATCAAAATATGTTGTTGTTTCTTTGGGTCCATTAGATTGATTTATTTTTATTTGGTTTAGATTTTTATCTGTAAATTGTGTAAAGAAGCTCAATTAGTACCCGTGTTTCCTTTTCTTCTTGTTCTGTTTTGACATAGCTACTTCCCCTAAACCCATTTCTCCATTTCTTGGAATAATCTTCATTGTTGCTCTTGAAATCTGGTAAATGTTATTGTAATTGAGGGTTCACCACAGCGCTAAAAAAGTTTGAGAACTGCAGCTTTTAGAGTGTTTATTGGGACTTGCAACTTGTTAAGAAGACTCAAAACAATTAGCTTAATCATATCAATCAACATATCAATTAAAATCTGATCAAAATTATTTTCATTAGCCTTGTATTATTCAAAATTATTGAGTCCAAAAATGAAGCCTACCTAAGTTTTCCGATTCTTGACGCCCCCCTCCCCCTGCCAACCACCATAAAAAATAAATTGGACACCCTTGTCACATATCGTCATAAGTATGTGACCCCTTTCCCCCCACTAGAAATAGATGTTTAACTTCATTTATGGATGCCACATAGGGGTCCCAAAAACGGGTCCCTTTTAGTTTTACCAAAACCGGTACCAGGTATTTTTGATATTGAAGTTAACAAATACCGGAATCCCGAGAATTTTCGATATTGTTAATATTTAGAGAATTTTGTGTCGTGATTTAGAGGGGATGATTTATCAATGAAATAAAAACATTTTAAATAAAATTGCAATTTGATTTTTAATAAGCATTTAACAATATTAACAAGAACACAAATGTATAACTTCAGACATTATCAAATTAAAAAAATTTTTTTGTTGTTTTAATTAATCTTTGGTCAAATTTCAATAATGAGATCGTAAAAATTACAATGTGTCTAATGTTTGATCACTGAAATTTTGACTTCAAATAGTAAAAAATGTAACCTGATGACAAGAGCACCCGCTCAGGTTCCACAGCTTTTGGGGAAAAAGACCTTATACTTATACTATTAATATGCAATTTCTAGATATTTTCTTCTATAACTTGCTGTTCTCAAATAAAGCCTTCTCTATTTTTTTTCCAATGTAACAAGGAGTCCATGAATTTGGTCTGTAAGCATTATCTTGAGTCCAAAGTTTCTTTTATATTTCAATTTCTAATGGTCTCTTAAACGGCAGTGTGTCTTAAAGTTCGTCATGCTCAGATCCAAGATTTTCAATCTCATTTCCCATAGACATTTTCAACAAGGAATCCGCTGTTTGACCAAGTTTTTGAATATCTACGATATGTTTTCGCATCTGGTCGCAATATGGCCTAAGGAATACGTCCAAGTAGGCATCTGACGAATCAAAGTACGTCTTAGGGTTGTACAAGTATTTGAACGTTGAAGCTACCAACACTCTGCGCTCTTTAATCCGACGCTTCAGAGAGGCAACAAGTTCACGTGCAACTATTTCATGAGACATGGTGTCTAATTTTTAAACGTAAACATCAAAACCGCATCGGCTGTCATTAATCTGGCGTTTCTTGTGCAAAGTTCTTCTACCGTTGCTTTCAGTATTTCAAATAATTTCTTGACATTAAACAGCCTTTCAAATTCATCTTGTGTTATGTCAATACTAATAGGATCTTTTAGTCTCACCAACCTTCTAAAATCTCTGCTAAACTACTCCACCTTGTGCTGCAATCAAAAATCAAATTAAGCTCACGGCCAATTTTTGCAATTTCTCGCACTTTCCCGATGAAATCTTTAAAAATAAAGTAAGATATAATTTAGCTTGATCTCAGCTGCGTCATTATCATCATCGTTGTCAGAATCGCTGTCTACTTCGGGTTGATGTTGCTGAGGTTAAAGCGTTTTGTTTATATTTAGATTTTACTTTATAAAGCACGTCTACGACTGCCAGCTTTACACTCAGCAATGACTCTGTTGATGGCGGCAAAGCGCTGCTTCGCGTCCTAATACGCTGATCCCACGGGCACCGTCAGTAGTTTTGCAGACGATTTCATCTTTCAATGATAATTCAAAAGCGGACAGCCTGTGTTCCAACAACTGTAAACATGTTCTGGCCGACCTGCTGCCAATCACACTTGGTCTTACTAAATAATAATAATAATAAAGTGTACCGGTATTTCAATTACACGCTTCATCCCCAAAGGCTCGAAGCGCGGTACAAGAGTAAAAAAAAAATAATTTTTAATCAATTTATAATTTACCACATTTAAAACAAACGCAACACTACAAAAATTAATTACAAGCATACAATGTCAAAGTCTTTCTAACCATTTCAACCCTGAGCAACACAGCTAATATGCATTAAATGGAAAATATGGTAGACAATCATCCCAGAAGGTGTTTGCGAAATAAATGTACTAGGCCAAGATGTACAAATTCATTGGTTAACACAGGACTATGAATATGAATGTTTGCGTTCATGAAACGATGATTCCCCAAACTCGTCCATTCATCCAGTGTCAGAGGCATCTTTACTTATCAAATCATGAGCCAGGGACAGTTTAGCTCTTTCTTCTTTCAGTTTATGCAGTTTATTGATCAAAGAGGTTCTAACTGTCTCACTGTGCTGCTACATCATCATGTTTTTAATTGATCTAGAATATGTAGGAACATTGTGGCCACATTGCTTCATGATTCGTCTTTGATCATTACAAGTAATGAACAAACTGAATGCAATCTAAATCTAAAGCTGTCATACGAGAAACTGGTTACTGCTTAGCATTTTTGAGCTTGAAAAACAGTCTGTTAATGTGCTTTATTTTCTCGATGCTTCATCGTCTGTGTCGGCGGAAGTCTTAGAACAAGACGCCGTAGAAACCAGTGCTCTTCGCACCGGTACCAGATACGGCGATATCTTTCAGGACAGTGGAATGTGCAGACTTCAAATGAGTTTGAAGGCCTGGAGTTGTACCTCCAACACCCCAACTCATATCCCGTAATGCATTTAGCTGAGAGGTTGTCCTTAGCGTTCAAGAAATAATCCCAAACTAATGTCTTTGTTTCCGAAAGTTTCACAAGTTATAAGCGTTTTACATTTAGGTTCATTTTTGTCAAGGTCTCCCTTTTCTTTGTATCAACCCGGAGAGGAAAAAAATCATTATAACAATACGTGTTAATTAACAAAAAATTATTTATTGTACTTATTTAAATCGAATCATTTTGACCTTAACAACTTTTTTTTAAAAATGTTTAAATCTTCAGAAAGCTAGATACGGAACAAACGAACTGGGACAAAATAGCTCAAGTATTGTTATATATCAAAAAGAAAATAAATTATGAAGTAAATTATTAATATTTTTATCACAAAATAGAAGTAACAAAATTTCTTGTGTCCTAAACTTAAGGTAATTGATTATTAAAATACGGATTCGGTCATAGTTTTAAATATATAGGTACTTTGGTATAATGAAAGTTTACCCCGTGATTCGAGTGCAACGTTTTATTATTTCCTTATAATTCATGTTACATACAAACTTTTAATCTAAGTCACATGTGTCAAGCTCAAGGCCCGCGGGCCACATCCGGTCCGCCTTAAATTTTATCAGGCCCGCGAGGTCATGGCCGGTGTACAATTATATCCAAGTCAACGCTATGGTGTTTCCCAATGCACACTTTTCTGAAATACTTAGCTTACTTCGCGCTGAGTTCGCACGGCGCTTTTGTGACGTTGAAGCACAGAAAAGTAATTTCTAACTGTTTCGTAACCCATTTGTCATATACGTGCAAACTGCACCTGTAAATTTGCAGATGGAGCTAATAGAGCTGCAGTGTAATGGGACACTAAAGGCAAAGTACGTCACAGTTGGGCCTGCACAGTTCACTCGCTCCATTCCTGAAGAGATGCCCCAGCTTCGTCTACATACGGCTCGAACCTTGAGCATGTTGGGTAGCACATATCTGTGTGAGCAGCTGTTTTCTGTGATGAAGATTAACAAAACATCACACAAAGAGTCGCCTCAATGATGAACATTTGCAGTCCATCATGAAAATGTCAATAACACATAATCGATTACACGAAGATCGATTTTTTTCTCTTCTGAATGTTTTATCCGTTACCGGGTATCCTAATAAAGGGAGGTATTTTTGAAAGAATATTCGCGGCCCCTTCCGAGTGAATTTCACTGAATGGTATCTGTAAAATAAAAAAGAAAAACAAGGAGATGAGTGTGGCCGAATCATAAAGACGCCCCCTGAGCCCCTGCAAGTGGCGCATAGACTTCGGGCCCACAGTACCGGTGTAGCGTTACTGTCAATAACTTAAGACCAGGGGTTCGTTACCTGTGGTCCACGGACCCCTTGCAGTCCGTTAAAAAGGTGTTATTTGGTCCGTGATCTGCGTTTGATTTGTGTTTTTATTTTTTGCATTTAAATAACTTATCATATAATATGGGGTCCGCTGTCCACATCTGACAGGGGGTCCATACCGACCTGTGGTCTAAAAGGGCT